GCACGCTGACCCCTCGGCTGCAGCATCACGACACCTGAAGCCGAAACCCAGCTCTGCTGACTGCTGTCCCACAGCAGCCGTGGGACACAGGGGCTGCTTAAGCTCTGAGCCCCAGAACAGCTCACTCCCTGGAGCAGAGACCACAGCATACAGTGTATGATCCATTGCCAGGTGGAGAAAGATCACAGAGGCTGAAGATAACACCGTTAAGGGAGGTGGGAGCAGCCCCACGTCTATCATGGTTACGGATGTCTATGCCCTTTGACCCAGCAGCTCTACCTGCAGCAATCCGTCCCACTCCTTCACCCAGACATGTAAAGAACGTGGCACTGTCAGCAGTGCTGCTCTAAGTTGTTAAGGGCTGACTTGTGTGCCCCTCCCCAATCCCCAGCATCTCAGAATGGGACTGTATTTGGAGACAGGAAGCTGGAAGTGGGGGGGTGGCCCAGATCCAATAGGCCCTTATAGTCAGAGGAGACTCAGAAAGACAGACAGAGGGATGACCACGTGAGGACACGGGGAGGAGACGGCCGTCTACACGCCAAGGAGAGAGGCCCTGCTGACACCTGGATCTCAGACATCCAGCCTCCAGGACAGGAGAATAAATGTCTGTTGTTTAAAGCACCCCATCTGTGGTACTTTGTTACAGGAGGCCGAGCAAACTAACATAGTTGTGAAACTTAAACATCAGAGGAAAAAAGGTGAATAAACTCTGGTGTGTCTGCTTGATGGGATACTGAACGACCATTTAAAAAAAGGAAGCTCTTGGGACTTCCCTGGTGGTCCAGTGGTAAAGAATCCGCTTTCCATTGCAGGGGACGCACGTTCCATCCCTGGTCAGGGAACTAAGAACCCACATGCCGCAGAGCGACTAAGCCCGCACACCACAACTACTGAGCTTGTGAGCCTCAACTAGAGAGCCCACGCCCTCTGGAGCCCGCGTGCCACAACTAGAGAAAACCCACACGCCACAACTAGACAGAAGCCCATGTGCTGCAACTAAGACCCAACACAGCCAAAAATAAATAAAATAAAAATAAATAAATCTTTTTTAAAAAAGGAAGCTCTTAACATATTTACAAAGAATAGCCTCTGAGATACACTGTAAAGTGAAAAAAGCAAAACACACAGCAGTTTGTACGTGCCATCACATGCGTAAAAGGGTGAGAGGAATGCACAGAGGCAGACGAGAAGGTGCAGGTCCTGGCTGCCCTGGAGAAGCGAGAGCCTGGGGGACAGGCAGGGAGCACGTCCTGTCCCTGTGTACATGCTGACCTTTCGGGCACGTGAATGCTTTACTTTTCCAGAAAAACAAATGTATTAAAAAAAAAAGTGCAGCCTCTGGGCTCACGGAGTCTCATTCAACTGAGGAGGTAGAGGCAACGCCCCAGGAAGTGACGTTGGGGGCAGCGTCCCAGGAAAGGCTCTGAGGGACACGGGAGGGGGAAGAGGAGGCCCAGGTGAGGCCGCGGAGCAGCAGGACCCACCCCTCGGACCATGACTTAAGCCAGCTGATCACAGTGTTCCATCCCCTCTGCCTACATGTGGCTTTCACGTGGGATGTGCCTCCCATCTGGCCGGGGAAAGGCTGGGGAGTTAGTCCCCAGGTAAGTTTACTTGCACTTAAGGAGGAACGAGAACACGGTCTGCTTTTCTCCCTCTGGACACGACACGCCTCTAGGACAAAGCTGACCTGTGGAGGCTGACTAGCAGGATTTGGGAAGATGCCGGGTCCTCGGACACATCGTTGGCTGGGGGTGACACCACTTTCCAACTCCAGAATTGCCCTATCCTGGAAACCTCGTTTTGGGAGATGACATATTTTCTTCTTACTTACCCCACTGTAAGTCGGGTTTTCTGGTACCTGTGGCTGCAACCATCCTGATACAGCCAGGTGAGCTCAGGATGTTCAGATGCATTTTAGGAGGTTGGGTTTTATCCCAGAGGCAGTAGGCAAGTGCACAGAGATTTAAAACGGGGAGAGCGGCATCGTGGGGCTGCTGGGCCGGGCCCTGCCCCCAGGCATAGGAAAGAAACACTAGAACAGGTATCTCTAATTCTTATCTGAGATGCAGCTTTTGTATAAGTTCTTAAACATCAGCACAGAACTACCTGTGACGGAGTATCGACGACAATAAGAACGTCGGCCACAAACCCTCATGGGCGAGGCCCAAGTCCAAGGCCCCGGCACCGCATGTCACAGCCCTCCCGGGAGCCCGACCTGGGCAGTTCTCCCTTAGCTCTGGTTTAAGAGGAGAAAACCAGGAACACAGGGCAGCCTGTGCCAGTGACAAAGGTCAGACGCAAACCCAGCTGGTTCTGCTCTGGAGTCTGGGCTCCAAGCCACACGGTGCTGTTACCTGCCACTCGAAGCGCAACCTATAAACCAGCGTGTGCAGGGGACTTATATGTCTGTATATTTACAGACAAGTATGTATACGTATCAATCAATGTGTGTATAAATATGCACATGTACATGACCTACACACGCGTGTCCGTATGTATCAGTGAGCACATGTGCATGTGCAGGGGATACACGCTCAGTGGTGTTATACTGAACACACAATGAAATAGGCTTTTTGAAAATCGCGGCACAGAGAACAGACTTCAGGGAGACAGAGTCAGGAGGGTGGCAAGGAGGCTAGCGGCCTTCAGGTGGAAGAGGGAATTCTTGAGGAGGTCTGCGGCTTGTGAACTTCCGGCACGCGGAAGCCAGACCCCAAGGTGCTCTGGAGGCTACAGCGGTGTGACCCACCACCGGGTAAAGAAGGATATGGTGCCGCAGGGCACCAGGTCACTGGAGGAAGGAGAGGGTTGAGGGGTCTGGGGATCACAGAGACCAAATGGGGGCCTGGGGCTGGGTCACACCAGGGCAGGGACTCTGGCGTGACACATAGCCATGCTGGGGTCTGAGCAGGTCTGGGAGGAACCTGGAAGGGCAGCTGGCTGTCACCAGTCCTGTGACGCTACGAGGAACTGGGATGCATGGGCTAGAAGGGTCACTGAGGACCCCAGGTGGCAGGGGAGGGGCAGGCAGGTAGTGGAGTGAAGTGGGTGCAGACCGAGGGACGGTGGGGACCGTGGATACCGAGACGGCAGTGACCACTAACTGTGGCTGTGAGGGAATGTGGGTCCAATGTTGGAAGAGTTGCCAGATTTTCAAGGGAAAACAGGAACTTGAATTTTTATGTGACATCTCTTGATTTTTAAGTGCTGGTCTTAAAAATTTTAAAGCACCAGCCTTACAGCTAAGTGGCAGACTGGGACTCAAACCCTGACTGGTTCCAAATCAGTGAGGGGCAGCTCCCTGGGCACGGAGTGCCTGCAGCAAGAGGGGCAGAGGCTGCCGCTCCTCCCGGCTCACCATTCCAGAGAGTCTGTGTTCCCAGCTCCTTGCCAACCAACAGTGATGACCTGGCCACTAATGGCTTCAAGTATTCTCAGGTACCATGCCCTTCCAGGGAGGACTTCTGCCGATCATGCTGATGAAGGAATGGGGCTTTTGATACTCAAAGAACAAGAAAGGGGTGGTGGGCTTCCCTGGTGGTGCAGTGGTTGAGTGTCCGCCTGCCGATGCAGGGGACACGGGTTCGTGCCCTGGTCCGGGAAGATCCCACATGCCGCGGAGCGGCTGGGCCTGTGAGCCATGGCCGCTGAGCCTGCGCATCCGGAGCCTGTGCTCCACAACGGGAGAGGCCACCACAGTGAGAGGCCCGCGTACCGCAAAAAAAAAAAAAAAAAAAAGAAAGGGATGGTACACTGGTAGCTTTGTTGTCTGATGGGTAACTCCCAGTTCCTCATGCTATGGGGCTCTGTTAGGGTGTAAAGCAAGGGGCCTGCCTCCCCTCATAGGGCGACGACTAGAGAAGTCAAGCTGTCGAGCAGAGAATGTCATCCCTCAGGAAGCACTAATTGGAACAGGAGTGGACACTTGACAGCAGGGTCAATTTTTGCAGACTGATGTGGATATTGACCAAGAAGTCTCTCTCCTCTTCTTTTTTTTTTAAAAAGATTTTAAAAATATTTTTAATTGAGATGATTATGCTGACATTTGTTTCTCATTCCACATCATCTTCAGCCAAGCTCTGAGCACTTAACAATTCTCTAATTGTTGGGAGCTTAGTCAGAAGCATCTGGAACACTGGTGGTGCAAGAGTTTGCTGCAACACTTGAAGTAACTGCTGTGGCTGTCCACACACAGCAATTGCGTTTGTCAGATGGTCCACACCCTTCTCATATTCACCTTGAGCCAGTAACTCTTTACTAAGCTGTATTTCTTTGAGGAAGAATTTCTGAATGGCCTCAGCATCTTTAAGGTCAGGTAACTTGGAAAGTGCAGCTCCCTCCTTGGCAAGCTTATGCTTCTTTCTTTGTTCTTGCAGCCTGTTCCTGAAGTTGGGGTCACTCTGCCTCTTGCAGTCGAAGCAAATGCAGGACCCGCACATGCTGGCGGCAACAGCGCTGTTCTGGCCCTCCATCTCCTCTTCAATGAGGAGTGGGGTCGGCGGCGGTGGGGTCCGTGATGAAGCAGCTGGCCTAGAACCCTCTAAGCGGACTGCCCCGCTCTGTCCTGACGCCCACAGTGAGGGACGCGAAAAGCTTTTTTTTTTTTTTTTTAAGAGCACACTTACAAAGGATTGACTGCCAAGGGCCACCCTCCCCTCTAAGTACAGAATCTTGCGTGAAAATGAAACGGAGCTGACAGATAAAGAGCCAGTAACCTGATACCATTTAAGCACCTGGATCATGCCAGGCCTGAAATCCAGCCCCTCAGATATTTCAATTATATGAGCTAATAACTGTCTCTTAAAGCTTAACCTGGGTTAAAGTTAGTCTCTGACATCAGTAACTAAAAGAACCTTGCCCAAATTAAAAAAAAATGGTATTTGAGAAGGTCCTGCCCCTTGCCCCAAAGCTGGACACAATGTGTACCTGCCTACTCCCTAGGCTGACACTAGACAGTACCCCACTCCCACCATCCCCATTTAGTCCCCTCTTACCTGGAAATAGTTCAAAAGGATGCCTGCCCCAGACAGTCCCAGGCCTGCAAACAGGAAGGGCACTGTCACCTGGAGGCCAATGGACAAGGTGGTCTCCCTGCTGAGCTCAGGCCCCAGGGGTTTAGGGGCCACCCTTTGGCTCTCAGGGACACTCAGCAGTCCATCTTCCGAGGCTTCAGGGAGTCTTCCTGTGCTGAGACCGTGCAGCAGGCCCAGCTCCTCTGGCCTCCGCTGTCGGGTCTCCGTCCCGTCCATCTGAGTACAGCTGAGCCCCTGGCAACCTTAATCTGGGAGACATAAAGCAACAGGGGTTGTAGGGCAGAGTTCCTGAACCCCATGGGGCTGACAGCCTGTAGGTTTTCACATTCTTCTGTCCAGCAGAGGCTGCAGCATTCTGTCTAATCCACAGCCCTTCCCTTGGAGCCTGCTCCACATGGCCTCCTGCAACCTGGATTTACAACAGTTTTTAATTTAATACGCACATGTTTGGGGGAAAAGTACATACAGAGGTGAACATTAAATATATATGAGCTGGACTCAGCAAAACTGGAGGTATTAGGACTTCTGAAAATTCTTTCCTCCATAAAAGCAACAAGAAAACTAAAACTGTCAGAATCTTCTTTTTCAGAACTATGGATATTAATCAAAGGCTGGCAGCAACATATTTCTTCAAGAAAAAATGCTGAATCTCAGCACAAACAGCCACAGAATGATGCCCACGATGTTTGTAATGTTTTAACTTGCCTGAGTCCCATCTCCTGCTCTCCAGCTCTGCAGCAGCCTTAAAAACCAACTGCCTGGAAAGCTGGGAATGGGCCAGAGCTTTTTCAAAGCCTCGTTCCCAAAGAACTGCCACTATTGGACAGCAGGTAGCTCACCGGAAGATGCCAGCTGCAGACTCTCTGCATTTCACCTGACTTGTGGTTTGCTTTGTATAAAAAGCCTTTTCCCTTTTTGGCTGCCTGAGGCTAGTAGATAATACTTGGGATTAACAACACACTAGCCAAAAAGCCTAAAAGGAAAAGCTGTGGAATGAGATGCCTACTTGGGTTCTGAAAAGGTCCCATACAATCCCAGGACACCAGAAAGCCACTGGCACTGGGCTGTGCACATGCTCAGGAAATACCTGAGGAGACCCAAGCTCTCAGCTCTGACTGATGTGGAGGCTCAGTACAAGCAGGAAATGAAGGCTAAGGTGGGGCTACCAACTACCTGAGTGAGGGTTGAAGGGATGCCCTGACATGCACACAGGGCCCCTGTGGCAAGGACTGGGAGACCCGTCGGCACCAGGCATGGTGTTCAAGGAAATCTCCATCAATCACTAAGCAGAGGCTTCAGTGCCACAAACAAAAGAGAAAACAGACCAAAGAATTAGTTTGGACAAGTCATGAAACAAACAACATCTACAGTAAGCAGCAATAACAAACAACCCTGAGAAGAGGGGAGAATCTGATTTCCAGAGGTGCCACATTATTTTATTTTAAATGTCCAGACTAACTAGACAAAAGCTTTAAATCAGCTATTTAAAATATGTTCAGCCTTTCTGCTCGTGGATGCCGCCGAGTAAGCATCGTTGATGTCTCCTCCCCCCTCCACTGCTGTCATGTCTAAGTCAGAGTCACCCAAAGAGCCCGAACAGCTGCGGAAGCTCTTCATCGGAGGTTTGAACTTTGAAACAACCGATGAGAGTCTGAGGAGCCACTGTGAGCAGCAGGGAACGCTCACAGACTGTGTGGTAACGAGGGATCCAAACACCAAGCGCTCCAGAGGCTTCGGGGTTGTCACACACGCCACTGTGCAGGAGGTGGATGCGGCCATGAATGCAAGGCCACACGAGGTGGATGCAAGAGTTGGGGAACCAAAGAGGGCCGTCTCAAGAGAAGATTCTCAAAGACCTGGTGCCCACTTAACTGTGAAAAACATTTTTGTTGGTGGCATTAAAGAAGACACTGAAGAACATCATCTAAGAGATTGTTTTGAACAGTGAGGGAAAATTGAAGTGATTGAAATCATGACTGATCGAGGCAGTGTAAAAAGAGAGGCTTTGCTTTCGTAACCTTTGATGACCATGACTCTGTAGACAAGATTGTCATTCAGAAATACCACACTGTGAATGGCCACAACTGTGAAGTAAGGAAAGCCCTATCTAAGCAAGAGATGGCTAGTGCCTCATCCAGCCAAAGAGATGGAAGTGGTTCTGGAAGCTTTGGTGGTGGTCATGGAGGGGGTTTTGGTGGGAGTGACAGCTTTGGTCGTGGAGGAAACTTCAGTGGTCGAGGTGGCTTTGGTGGCAGCCGCGGTGGTGGTGGATATGGTGGCAGTGGGCATGTCTATAATGGATTTGGTAATGATGGAAGCAATTTTGGAGGTGGTGGAAGCTACAAAGATTTTGGCAGTTACAACAATCAATCTTAAAATTTTGGACCCATGAAAGGAGGAAACTTTGGGGGCAGAAGTTCTGGCCCCTATGGTGGTGAAGGCCAACACTTTGCCAAACCTCGAAACCAAGGTGGCTATGGTGGTTCCAGCAGCAGCAGTAGCTATGGCAGTGGCAGAAGGTTTTGATTACTGCCAGGAAACAAAGCTTAGCAGGAGACGAGAGCCAGAGAAGTGACAGGGAAGCTACAGGTTACAACAGATTTGTGAACTCAGCCAAGCACAGTGGTGGCAGGGCCTAGCTGCTACAAAGAAGACATGTTTTAGACAATACTCATGTGTATGCGCAAATAACTCGAGGACTGTATTTGTGACTAATTGTATAACAGGTTATTTTAGTTTCTGTTCCATGGAAAGTGTAAAGCATTCCAACAAAGGGTTTTAATGTAGATTTTTTTTTTGGCACCCATGCTGTTGATTGCTAAGTGTAATAGTCTGATCATGACGCTGAATAAATGTGTCCTTTTAAAATAAATAAATAAATAAATAAATAAATAAAAATAATAAAATATGTTCAAAAAACTTAAGGAACCATGTCTAAAGAAGGAAAGCATGACCCATGGTGTACAGGCATCCTCAGTAAGATTAACAGCTCTTTCTCATCAGACATCATGGAGCCAGAAGAAATCAAGAAGCCATAACATGTTGAAAGTGCTTGAAGAGTTCTATGGGCAGCAAAATTATCGTTCAAAAATGAAGGTGAAATTGATTTCCTGATAAACGAAAAGAGAGAATTTGTCACTAGCACATCTGCCCTAGGGGAAATACCAAAGGGAGACTTTGAGGCTAAAATGAGAGGACCCAGACAGCTGTTTGTCCACATGAAGAAATAAAGAGCATTAGCAAGGGTAACTAATAGGCATATTTTACAAAACAGTGTAAGCGTTATTTTTTTGTTAATAACTCTTTTCTTGTATCTGATTTAAAGACAACTGCATAATGCAGCAGTTATAAATCAGTGTTGATGGGCACACAATGTAGAAGGATGCAACTTGTATGACAGTAAGGCCACAAAAGGGTGGGCACAGAGCTATATACGAACAAAGTTTGTATATACTAGTAAATTAAGTTGCTATTAATTTGAGTTAAAAATAACTATATATATATATTATATATATATATATCTTATAAATATCTCATATATATAAATACAATGATAAAGGTTAGGGCACACTAGAAAATACATGAGATCTGGTACAAAAGAAGGCAGAAATGGAGAATAAAGGAACAGAAAGAACCGTAAGACATAGAAAACAAAGCACTCCAACCCAGCAACAGCAAAATACATATTATTATCAAGTACACATGGAACATTCTCCAGAATGGACCATACATCTGGGCGAAAACAAGTCTCAAATTTAAAAGGACTGAAGTCATACAAAGTATGTTCTCCAACCACAATGGAATGAAATTAGAAACAAATAACAGAAGAAAATTTGGGAAATTACAAATAGGTGCAAATTAAAAAACATGCTCAAATAACTGATGGGTCAAAGAAGAACACACAAAAGAAACCAGAAAATTATTTGAGAGAAATAAAAATACAACATACCAAAACTTATGGAATGCTGGGAAGACAGTGTTTAGAGGGAAATTTATACCTGGAAGGACCAATGTTAAAAAAGAAGAGCTCAGATAAATAATCTTTCACCTTAAGAAAAATAATGAAGGAGAGCAGAATCACCACCATCCCCCTGAAAACACAGTAGGAAGTAGGAAGTCATAAAGATTAGAGTGATAATTAAGTGGAACAAAGAATAGAAAAACAATAGGGAAAACCAACAAATACAAAGGTTGGGTCTCTGGGAAGATCGAAAAAATTGACAAACCTTTAGCTGACCAAGAAAAAAAGAGAAAAGACTCAAATACTTAAGAGGGGACATTACTTCCAAACTTATAAATTTGAAAATAATTATGAGGGAATACTATGAAGACTGTATGCCAACAAATTAGAAAACCTAGATGAAACGGACAAATTCCTAGTAACGCACAAACTAACTCAAGAAAAAAAATTTTTTAACTAAAAGACCTGTAACAAGAGATTGAATTAGTAAAAAATATTCTTATAAAGAAAAGTCCAAGGTCAGACGACTTCAGTACTGAATATAAAGCATGATGACCTGTACATAGAAAATCCTAAAGGACACACACACACACACACACACACACACACATTACAGCTAATCAACAAGTACAGCAAGGTTGCAGGATACAAAATTGATACAAAAAAGTTAAAGTTTTATTTCTATACGCTAGCAATGAACAATCCAAAAATTAAGAAAACAGTAGTACCTGCAAAAATATCAAAAAGCATAAAATACTTAAGAACACATTTCACAAAAGAAGTTTAAAACTTTTACCTTGAAAACTGCAAAACATTGTCGAAAGAAAGTTTTACAAAGCTAACAAATGGAAAGATATTCCATGTTGTTCATGTGTTGGAAGAGTGAACACTGTTAAGATGGCGGCACTCTTCAAACTGATGTACAGATTCAGTGCAATCCCTGTCCAAATTCCAGTGGCCTACTTTGGAGAAAATGACATGATGATCCTGAAATTCATATGGCAATGCAAGGGACCCAGAATCCTAAACAAACTTGGAAGAAAGAAGTTGGGGAACATGCACTTTAGGATTTCAAAACTTAACTATGAAACTAGAGTAATCAAGACCATGTAGGGGCTTCCCTGGTGGCGCAGTGGTTGAGAGTCTGCCTGATATGCAGGGGACGCGGGTTCGTGCCCCGGTCCGGGAAGATCCCACATGCCGTGGAGCGGCTGGGCCCGTGAGCCATGGCCGCTGAGCCTGCGCGTCCGGAGCC